GCAAATAAATTATTTACCGATATTTTTTCAGCGTTAAAGTGATACAATCATTGATACATCGGTACATTAACGAGCGCAACAAGATAAAAAGTCGTAGAAAAGGAAGCGAAATTACGAAAAGCCTTTGCATGAAATTAAAGAAATATTGCGTAATAAAGAGATAAGAAGGGCAGCGAGGTCAGCGAGCGAAAATGTTCGTGATGACGTGCGGGTACTCAAGTGGCATCCTTGTTTCATTTTTGCTAAGATCTGATCGCCAACACAATTTTGTCTCGTATAACGAGAAAATGCTGATCTTGGCAAAATAAAATCGCGTTCTTGATCAAATCAGTAATGAGATTTCGTTCCAGTTTGTGTTTCAAAAGTGTGACGGGATCACGGTAAGATTACAGCAAGATTTTTCTTTCGCACACCGTTGAGAAAAACTTTTCAAACTAATCATCAATCTCCGCAAAAGTTTTTGCAAAACGCTTTTCCCGACGAATAAAATGCTTATTTTATTTCGTGACGAAATTACACACTTTTTCAGTTCTATGCATTCTTGCATTAATAGGCATAAAACTCAACTGAATCCAACTACAATGAGTACGAAAAACCTTTTTTACTGCTTACAAAGCCGGCAAACATTTCTATTCTGCTCATGTGCTTCCTCAGAGTCTAATCGCCATTGGCTTTATCTTTTAGGACTCTCTTTCCATTTATTTTGACTTGATTCAACTTTTTGGGAGGCTCTTGGCCACGAGTATCGAGAACATGCAATCTCAGATACCGTGTTTCTCCATCTCGGGACGAAGACCCCCCCCTCCTTTGAGCTGGGTAATTTTTTTATAGTAACATTTAAAAAGATTCGATGTAAGAATTATCTTTTATTGCTTTTTTTTCTTCTTTTTTCCTTTCTACCTAATTAAAACTCCTGGCAAGAGAACATCTTTAGGTTTTTATCAGCTGCTAACACACTCACACACCTAAAATAAAACAAAAGGTAAGAAAACAAGTGCAATATATATAGAAACAAGTATGATAAAAAAAATTATTCTAGAGCAATTACTACTACTCCCAACTATACTGTCAATATTTAATAGCTTTTTTTTCCGGAACTTAAAGAGTAATAACGTGGTTCAATGGAGTTTCTGTCAATCACTTTTACTGAATGAGATTTGAGAGTTTCAGGAACATGTTTCGTAGCTTTAAAGATATTTTCAAGTTTGAGTTTTGAGTTATCAATGTGATTTTTTGTGATTTCCATGAGAATTAGCGAATTACTTTTTTTCTTTGCAATGCGAACGAAATCGGCAGCAGAACGACAAACTTCACCTCCAAGCACAGCAGACCAAACTACTCGTTTCACAACTCCTCCAATCGCATCAACCGTGCCTTTCCCACGACTAGTGGCAAAAAAACACCAATTCATACTAATTTTATATTCTGAAGCAAGCTGAACTAAATTTCGAAAATGATAACGCTGTTTGAACTGAGACGCTGCTCCATCACTGGGAAAGTTAATTTCTTTCAAATTTGGAAGTAGAGTTTTCAAATGATTTAAAATTAATTCCAGAGCTGAATTCACAACGAATTTATCGTGAGTAACATCTAACGAGGGTAGAGCAAAACCAAATCCTCCGCTTTTGGACCAAACATAATCTGTAAAGCATATGAGTCTTAACAACTTCTGAGACGGGCTTTTTTATTCGATTGCCTTTTACCGATATAATCCGGGCTATATACTCTGGTGATCGTATATACTCTGAGATCATAGAAAAGGCGCCGAGCATGAAAGATAATCATAGTAATTAGCTCATTTTCTTTATGGGACGACTAATTCGAGATACGTGCATATCTCAGAGAATCCAAGCGCGTATTACAAGAAAGTTACGCATCGTATCTCCCGCGTTTTCCAATGGTTTAAAATTCATTTTTTAAAGCCTGGTTACATCATGTTTTACTCGGACTTTTCTTCGAGAACATGATGTAACCAAACTTGCTGAGAAAGGTATTTTAGTGGAAAGCATGACCGAAAAATGAAGAATTTCGTTCTGCCACTAAATCGCCAAATAACAGATAACCCTCAAACTTAGTGTGAACATACAGTAATTTCGAATCATCACCTTTTTGCATGATGTTCCCGAAGAAAAAGCCGGGTAAAACATCGTGGAATAAACATCGTGGTCAATAATTTGATTGCTGCAGTTCTTCAAAAGTATAACGATCAAAAGCGAAGAACTATAAACAAGTTCGTTAAAAAGTGTAGAGCCGACGATAAACATTCACTTCACGTCTTGGTATCTTTTTCAGACTTTTGTCAAAACGCTGTTTTTACTTTTTACTATTAATCTTTAATTTCTATGAAAATTATTTTAAATAAAATGGAACTGTTGGTTAGTTTCTTACTAAGGCGACCCCCATTTTCTACTTCTCTTCAATCTTTTCTTTAGTTTTGCTTAGTCCGACTAACGTTAGAACTTTTATTTGTGAAGAAAGTCGAGCTAATCTCTGAGTGAAATATTTCTGCGAAAGACAAGAAAATGCAAGAAATTGGTAAAATACATCTAATAGTTGAGAATTTTATATCTATGAAATCGTCAGCGCTAATATGATTGCTATAAAATCCGCACAATTTACGAAATAGTGGAAGTTTTCTTTTACATTATTATCACGATCTTGATCG